CCTCTCGCTTGGGTCTACGCCCACAAACCCATTTATTCACTCACCCAACCCTACTCAGATCCGACCACAAAGCAATGAGATTCCAGAGGAAGTAGCCGTGTGTTTCTTTTATTTAATATTTATTACTTTTATATAATTTCTCTTTCCCCATTTTATTTATTTACTTTTTATACATAACATATTTTCTAATATTTATATTATAGTGTATAAATACATTTATTTTTATGTGAAATAAAATATATATAATGTAATATAAATTTATAAACTCCAAAAACACTCTCAATATTGGATCCGAGTTGAAGCATTTGAAAGCATGACTATGCGGGAAATTATCAATGGCATTTGAAAGCATTGTAAGACAAAATCTTGAGAACATGTGATAACAGGCAGATTCATTGAACAAAAATTTAGGAAATATTAAATTTAGCTTTACTCCCCATGCCAAGATTCACCATTTTTTGCTTAAAATATGGTATAACACATGTACGTATTGTCTTAATATTGTAACTTCTTTGAACATACCAAGACAATCCCGCGTCAGACAAGCTTATTCTCTTTATGCCTTCTAATTAATTTATCATTTGATAATTCAAAAATAACTATATACATGAGAACAAGAAAGTGAAATAGTCGGAAATAAGAGTGCTGCAACGTATCATTTGTATTATTTAATTGATGTAAAATATTTGTGCATGCTAACTTAAAAGACTTTACCGTATTATGGTTGATAATTAGGATAAATAATCAAGAAAAATATACTTTGATCTATCGAAAAGAACCCTTAAGGAAGAGTTTAGTATTTGACACCTACTGAGACAAATAATTTATCATGTATTATGAGTAGACAGAGGACCTAACTTCTATAAAAAAAAATTATCTCTTCATATTAACATCGTGTCTCTTTATATTAATATTATGTCTCCTCGTATTCACATTTCATCAATGTAAATTAAAATTAGAATGTATCGCCTCAATTAACCAATAAGATTTAATCACTTAATATTATTAAACACAACTTTTATTATATTTATATAAAATATATTTATATATATACAAAAGATTAATATCACAAGGAGCACTAAATATAAAATTATCTAACATTCTCTCACTTGGTCCATGTGACATTAATTTCGTAGTTTAATGATAATCATAATATGCATAGTTTAAGCCAAATATTTTTACGTCTTAAATCATCCTTAAGAGAAAACCAATAAGAGGATTCTTATGGCACGAACCAAGTTACCTCAGTAGTTAAAAAGATTGTTGTTGTCCCCTAGAGGTCTGTCTCAGGTTTGAGCACCAACATCTACTGAGGTGTTCGAGCTTTCATTATCAAATAATTTAGAATCTTTAAAATAAATACTATTTTATCATCACCTCGGTTTAACAAAAAAAAAAGAATTGTAACCATATTATATCATTAATACAACACAATTTCATCCTTGTATCGAGGGGGAGCCATGATTAAACTTTGAGGGAAGAAATTGTTGGGTCTAAATATTATCTAAATCATCAAGATTAAAAGATTAAGGGTTTAATTTCACTAATTTCAAATTTAAAGATCTTACAAAATAATTAAACCAGACATATTAAATGTCCATGTTTAATTCCATTAATTTTAAAACTGATAATATCCTTAAAAATAATTACATTAAACTTTTTTTAGAAAAGTCAATTTATTATAATGGTTTCAAAACTACCAATAACTTAAAAGATAATAATACCATCAAATTTTGGGGCATTGCTACTCCCATCTAGGTGAGTGCAAAACTCGACTCAACTCGAAAAAATTTCATGTTCAAATCGAGTTATAAAATACAACTCGAATAACTCAAAATATTTAGTAATTAGTAGAATAATTTTCAAGTTTGAGACAATTCCCATGACTTTTTATGATATATATATAAATCACATATGAAAAAGTACAAATATATATATATATATATATATATATATTGACAGTATTTTATATGATTATAAATACCATTTAAATTAGAATAAAAATGTCATAATATTGTAAATATTTACAATTAAATTTAAATAAAAGCTCAAAAATTTGACTTGACTCGAAAAAATTTCAAGTCAATTCCGAATTGTAAAATATGACTCGTCAACTCAAATAACTCAAAACTTTTAACTCGACTCAACTCGATCAACGCTCACCCCTACTCCCACCTATTACATGGGTTTGCCCCTGTTTGTATCACAATTTAGTCCCGAACTCAATATAACATGTAATAAGATATATACAAGGATGAACTGGGGAAGTGGGTGGAGATAACAGCCCCTAAAATTTAAAACTAGTATGTATTTTATATTTTTTTTATGTATTTTCTATTGAAAAATATATTTTTACCTTTAAAATTTTATAAGTTCAAATTCACTCCAAATATAAAAGTAAGTGTCTCTCCCTATATGTATATATATATATCATAATAGACAAACAGTAATATTTTTGTAAAATATAAATATTGTTAATACTTACATAATTCATTCATGTATATATATTAACCATAATAAACAACATATTGAAAACCGAAAATAACATTCAAATGAGCTTAAAGTTTCGAGTACATAGAAGCATAAATAAGAAAATGTCAATAATGACCATTCTTTCTATATGTTCATTAAATACTTTGGGTGGCAATCTTTTTCTATTGGATCCGCGATCACAAAATTACAGCTGCTATCCTCGACTGACATTGTTTTCTAAAACTTTGTTTGAAGGGGAAAAAAATCATTTCCATGTGTTTAGGACCATTTTTTAAAGCAAAATGATCATGCCCGGCTCAATACATGTGTTAGATGGGCCTTAACCCAATACAACATGTTTGAGGGGCATCAGTTTTCTAGTGCTTATAGAAATTAAATATATATTTGGCCTAAAACAATTAGCCCAAAACACCGGATTAACACTAAATTGCTTTAATTAGAGGCATTTCTTCTTTTAGCTCGTAAATTATTGTTTCCATGCTATATTATTAATTCTTGCATTCCTAGGTCACTTGTTATTTGTCATGGTACTCGTGTGTCCTTACCCTTGTCAATGTTATGCTGTCTATTTCGATGATTATATAAGTGCTTTTATTTGTTTTCTTTTCCTCTGAGGTGTTTGCAATTTGCAGGAAGCTAGAGCATTGCTGGGAAGAATTGAATATCAGAAAGGAAATATAGAAGCTGCATTACATGTGTTTGGGGTAATCGATATCGCAGCAATAACTCCCAAAATGAAACTTACACTTTCAAGAAGAGTAGAACGGCGTAAGAGACGATCTCATGACTATGCTCCTCCACAAATGTCTATCCATGCTGTTAGTCTACTACTAGAAGCAATATTTCTCAAAGCAAAATCATTACAGCATCTGCACAGGTTTAGAGGTAATGTTTTATGTATTAGTACACAGATCTCACATCAACTCTGTTATTGTATGGATGAAGTAAGTCATAATTAAGTGCTATGTTGACTTGCACTAAATTATTCATTATAATATTGCTTTTTTTCTTATGTTTTATGGTATAAGGTTCTTTGCAATTTGGAATGTAACCCGTCAAGTATGTTATCATTAACTACATAACAACAGATGCCCTTCATTTTTATCATTCAGCACAATTCAATCATCACTGCATGGCTAATTTACATTTCCAATCATTCTTGCAGAAGCTGCAATTGATGGAAAAGATTTATTTATGGAGTTATAAATTTTGCAGAAAATGTTGCCGGATCACAAAGGTGAAAGTCCATGGACATCTATTCAAATAATGAAGTTTGCAAGAAGAATGTATATGTTCCCTAATGTGCTGATAGCATATAAAATTTTGTTCACGGTACCGGTTAAGGTTGCTTCCACAGAAAGAAGATTTTCAAAATTGAAGCTCTTGAAATACTATCTTCGAAGCACGATGACTCAAGATAGATTGAACGGATTAGCAATTCTAAGAATCGAAAGTCAATTTTTACAAAGTCTTGATTATCGTAAAATAATAGAGGTTTTTGCTTCAAAAAATGCACGAAGGCATCATTTTAGATGATATTTGTAGCTTTGTAGGTTTTAGTTTGTATTAGTATTGATATTGTTTGACTATAATTTATATTACATTTTTTATCTAAAAAAATTATTTATGTTTTGTCTATTATAAGATATAAGTATATGGGCATAAAATTATTATCTCGCCCAGGGCATTAAAACTCATTAGACCGACCCTGTTTCAATCCATTCTTTGGATTACATAAGATTGAATTAATCTCCCGAACTGGAACAACATTTCAAGAGCATTAGTCTATCTTAAATCTCTCTACAACTTCATTAATATCTTTTTGAAAACAACTATAAATTTCAATATAATATAAATTAGTATTTTTTTAAAAATGATATTGTATTTAGAATGATCAAATTGATGTTAGCATAAAATGTGATTTAAAGTAAAGACTTTATTATGTAAGACAAAATCTTTAGAATATGTGACCTCGGCTCACTTCACAGGCAGATTGATGGAATAAAGTAATAGAAAAAAGAGAATACTACATTTAGGTTTTACTCCAAGGCACCATTATTTGCTTAAAATATAATAATTATTGTATTAACATAGTAACTAGTTTGTATATACCGACAAAACCCCTTGTGCCATTGCCATGCTCGTGCCCTCGAAAAGAACCCGTTTGTTTTATTGGATTCGAAAATTTATAAAAATATATAGAAGGAAATATGCATTGAAGTGAGATATAGGTCATGTGCTGGTTCTTTTGTCAATTTTCAATACAACATATAGAAAAAAAGATACAGCTGCAACAATCTTCAACCATACTGCTTAAGTGTAGTTCAATGCTGTAAACCAATGGAGAATGAAGAAAAATAATAGATAATAATCTATTGAGCAATTTAGTGATAAGAGGAAATATTTTTTTTAATTTAAGATTAAATAATTTTTGCAAAACATATATATTCATTTATTATTGATTGAACAAATATTATCTTATAATTACTTAAAATTAATAAGAAAATAATAAATAACATTAATAGATTCAATTACAAGAGCTATGAACATTGACACTAACAAATTTCTCCATTGGTTCAGCACTAAAAAACGAGCTGATCACCATGGAGATCATACTAAGAACCCTAACCTGCCACTGCAACTGTCAAAAACTCCATTGCAGTAAGCTTACACAGATAAAAATACAAAAAAAGAAAGAAAGTAATTATGGTTTTAAAATAGAATCCCAATCTATCTCATAGGAAGGAAATTTGGACAACATAAACGTTTCCGAAGAAGCACCAAATTCGGGCTGAGGCCACAACTGTTGGTTGAAATCAGAGAACATAAGATCCGATAAAGGTGAAGATTCTGACGACACCTCATTGTCCGACAAAGAAGAAGACGAGTCCTCCAACTTCACTGTCTTTTCTTGATCCTTGCTTTTGTTCTCAGCCGTTTCCTTTGACGACTTCTTCTTCTTCTTCTGTTGCTTTCGGTCTTTTTCCAAGCTTTCACAAATGGCTTCAAGCTTAGCATCAACAGCGCCACCGATGTGAGAACCGTGGGGACGAAGGTTAGGGAAGTTGAGTCTCGCCGAGTCGCCTCTTAGTTTATAGGCAGCTTTGTCGTAAGCCAAGGCTGCTTCCTCGGCCGTTTCGAAAGTGCCTAACCAGAGACGGGACCGGTTCTTTGGTAGCCGGATTTCGGCGACCCATTTCCCCCAGTGACGCTGCCTAACACCTCGGTAAAGCTTGGTCGGTTTCGGTGGTGAGCCCATCTGTTTCATTGGAATCGGTTTGGGGCTAATAAACCTAGCCATATGGTTGGTGGGTTGAGGGTTTTGGTAAAGGTAACTAGGTTGGTTGTTTTGGAACTGGAACTGGAACTGAGCCGGGACCTGGGGAATTGTTGGACCGGGATGCGCCGGCTCTTGGAGAACTGAAAATGGCGGGTAAAGTAAAGAAGACGAGGAAGGAGAAGGGGAAGAAGAAGAGGAGTTAGAAGAAGAAGCAGTTTTTATAAAAGGTTCAACAGCTTCCATCAATTCTCCACCATAGAAACATGATTGAAATGATCTACTGCTATTAAAGAAATCCATTGTATCTGTCATAACCTTAAAACCAAACAAAGAAAAGATTAGAACTATAAAAAATCAAAATAAAAGCAACCTGTTTCTTGATAAATACTTAAGAACAGGTTTGAAAACCCAGAAAATGGATCGGTTAAGCGGGCTCTTTAAAATATGAAACCCCTTCAATCCAAGTCTAAAAAAAATTAAACTTTAAAGGACCAAAAATCACCCTTTAAGTTGATTGTAACAACAGAACCAAAAAGAAAACCTAAAATTTAAGATTGGGAAGACAATGTTGAAAAAAAAAGAACTGGATCTCGATTCTGAAAACACCTGGTTTTTGAAGTTATTGAAAACGAACCCAGAAATCAAATTTTCGTTGAAAGACAGATGATTAACAGAAAGGGATACAGAGAAACGGGGAGCTGCAGAAGAGGGAAGAAATTTAACAAAGAAAAACCCAGAATGAATAAAATGTTCTCTCAAGTTTTTGGTGTGAATGACTCTCAGCCTCACTTGGGTTATCTACGATAGCTCCCTTGTGTATATATAGGAGTTGAGGTCCTTGATTAACTGTCTTAATCGTGGCTACTAATTATGATTAACCAAATGTTTTGACTTTGGAGTTGTTAAGCTCCCACTGGACTCCGTTTTGGTTGTTTTGACCAATAACGCCTTGAAACATATGCTCATGTTCTTCTTTCAACGCGTTTCCGCCTTTTTTACAGTCAGGTGTTGGTGGACCTTGTAGTAACAGTCACGGATTTAATGGCACTATGTTCCCTTGTGTTCACACGCTGAGTTGTCCATTTCTTTCTTTAAAATTATCTAAGATATACGTATTTTCTTATTAAATAATATTTAGGGTAAAACACAAATTGTCCTTCAACTATAATTTTGTTAACTCCTTTTATTATTAAAATTATAAAATGGTCCATTAATTATGTAAAGTGTTGTTTGGTTGAGCCCCTGACTATAAAAGTTATAAAAAGGTTATCGGACTATATATATGTTTCAAAATCGTTTATTTATGTTTATAAAATAGTCATCCGACTATACATATAAATAGTCAGATGATTATTTTGTAATTTTTATTAATCAGTGGACTCAACAAAGCAATACCTAATAGTCAACGAATTATTTTGTAATTTTCAATAGTCGAAGGATCATTTTATAAATTTTAAAGTCGGAAGCCTCAACAAAACAATCACTTACAATTAGGAGATTATTTGTATACTTTAGAATAATATTTATACTATTTGTTTTGTAGGGCTACTATTTTTTTTTTGGGTAAAATAGTATGATTAAAAGGAAAATTATCCACACGAAGAGTTATCAGTGTCTCATTAAAAACATCCCTAATCTTAATTGGAGGAAAAGTGTACACCCATATAAGTCTTAAAAGAACAAACAATATATCAAAATTAATCAGAACCACCAGACAACATTACATCATTTTATTACAGCAAATCTACAATTTTCGGAAGAGGATTATCGATGAAATGAATTCCAAAATCATCGGAGGCAACCAAACCAGTCAAAAAATCAGCAACACAATTACTTTTCCGAGATATATGGCTAAAGCGAACACAATTACTATTATTTACTGAGTAGTGTTAACTATTTTTTATTTTTTATTTTTGCAAAATTGATTTTCGTTTGTCATAATTAATTTTTCTTTTATAACATACTCATCCCTTATATAATTTGTTAGACTCAATTTATAATTAATTATATTAATTGAGTTTATCTATTGTATCAATCTACAAATAATCATCATAATTTAACATCTGAAATCATCATCATCATAATTTAACATCTGAAATCATCAACAAACAGCAAAGTTCACTACAAAATCTCTTTATCAAGAGAGAAAGAGAGGAATTATCGACATCTAAAATCCTAATCTCAACCTTCTTCACGAAATAAAGAATCTAAATATCGGTACAATCATTTTCATTACAAATTATGATCCTTTATTTAAATTAAAATAAGTGAATTATTTGTAACTATCATACCCTATTTAAATTAAAATATGTTACATAATTGAACAGTGTAGCGGTAAAATAGACAGTTGTAAACTCCAATCAAAGGACTTAATAATATAATTAAAATAAAATGACAAAATATAATAAACAAAATCAAGTTGGATATATTTTAATTAATGATCCAACATTTGCAGTTGAAGGAAAGGAAGTTGATATCTGGATGTGATCTTATTAATCAATGCGTTTTAAACTTGTATCAGCTGTTGGTTTTGATATATTTTGTATAACTAATGGTGTGAATTAAAACTATAAACATAAAGGTATTAATTTATAAAAGTGTTAATAATATAGATAAGTATTGGATATGCACAAATCAAGCCACATCGGTAAAAGAATTGTTGTTATTTTTTGAAGTCTTGAGTTTGAACATCATAAATGTCAATGGTATGAGCGTTTAATATCAAATGGTTGAGAGTTATCTTTGAACACGTATTACCTTTTACTTAACCCATATTAATAAAAAATAGTGGATATAATAAGAAAATATATTATATTATTAAAAAGAAAATGTAAATGTTTGAATCAAGCGACCTTATTGCTTAATGAGTTATTGTTATTTTTTGAGGTTCTGGGTTCGAACACTGGATATACAAAGATATGAACGTTCATTACCAACTTGTTGAGAGTTTTTGAATAAGGAAAATTCTACAACGCTCGATGAACACCATTAACGATGAGCACTATTAATTTACTTTATAAAAAATTAAAATTCTAAAGGGCTCAATGTATAATTATAAAAAAGTTAAAAATTTAAAGGTAGATTATTTAAAATAAAGGGTAAACTATATCAGTGACCACCTAACTATTACTTATTTTTCATTTTAACCACCATTTTTTAAATTTTGTCAATCATGCTACTCAACTATTAAAATGCTTTCAATTAAGCCACTTGTCGTTAATATTTAATGTGTAAGTTGATGTGGTAGTTAAAATATTTGGTATAATTACACATTCAGTCACTATTACTTATATATTCTGTAACGCCCCAAATCTCGGGTTAGTAGTTTTAGATTAAATCGATTGGGTTTAGATAAATCCATTAGCATTGTAAGAAGACTTGGACCAAGTTAGCCTTGAGTCCTGCTTAGATTATTGAAAACATTTTGATGTTTCGATATAACAAATTAAGTATAAATGAATTTTAAGATTTTACAATTGATTTTTTAAGTATATTCGATTTAATTACTCGAATTTCAAATTATTGCTCCAAGTCTTCAAGATCAATTTCAAACCTTACTAAATGTGTAAAATTGTGTTTTATACTTAATATATTTTTGAAACAATTTTCACAAAGTATTTTGAACCAAAATCAAGCCTAAAATCAATTTTTCAAAGTGATGCACCGATGCACCAATCCATGCATCGATGCACCATGGAATAAATTGAACATCGAATGCATTTCATGCATCGATGCACATGCTATGCATCGATGCACTCAGCGAATGCATTTGATGCATCGATGCACCAGCGATGCATCGATGTACTCTGGCTATTTTGAAACATCGAATGCATTTCATGCATCGATGCACTCTTAGTGCACCGATGCACTAAGGGTCCAACGGTCAAAATATTTGAATTTTACACTTGATGCACCGATGCACCTTGGGTATGCATCGACGCACTGACGCTCCCAACTGATTTAATTAATTGTTTTCACACTTAAACGACTCTATTGACTAAACTAATCATCCCCAACGTTCAGAATCATTTGAAGGTGTATTTAAACAAGCTTAGAAGCGATTGATAAAAAACAAGAAAATACAAGAAACAAGAATCAAGAGAGAATCAAAGAGAAAGCATCAAACCTCAAGTTTGAGCATTTCAAGCCTATTTTTCATTCAATATTCATTTTTCTTTCAAGAACACTACTTGTACTCAATTGTATTCATTTTTGAGTGTTCTTTTCTTTGTTCTAGAATTGCGCAAACAATCTACCTTGTGAGGATTTCCTTGTAAGTTTGTAAATTTGTAATCTTCTTTTTGAGAAAGAGTGTTCTCAAGAATTGGGGTATATTCTTGAGGGAGTTGAAAGGTTATCTCTTTGGCCTCAAAAGAAAGAAAAAATTAGTAAATTTGTTGGAAAATCCTTAGTGTGGATAGCTAAGGTAGTGGACGTAGACTTTGGTTGAGAAAGTCGAACCACTCTAAATCGTTGTGCAAATCCTTTTAATTTTCTGCAAAAGCTTCCACCAAAATCTTAAATGCCTATTCACCCCCTCTTGGCCATTTCCATCGATCGATTAACTAAACAATTGGTATCAGAGCATAACTCATTTGAAGGTTTAATCACATCTTGAGTCGATTCGGGAAGAGTTACATCGATTATCAAGTCATCAATGGCCTCTACTTCAAATGTCGACTCCAGTCTCGATTTGATGCCCGTCAACAAGCCTTCTTTCTTCAATGGAGCTAACTATGCCTATTGGAAGAATAGAATGATGTATTTCATTCAAGCAAGTGACATGGGATCATGAAATGTTGTAGAAGACGTATATATCAAGCCTCTCACTCATCCAAGATTGTGGAGTGAAGGATAGACAAGAATGTTCCAGCTAAACTCCAAAGCCATCTATATCATATTTTGTGCTCTTGGACCAGATGAATATGGAAGAGTTTCATCTTGTACAACCGCCAAAGAAATATGGGATAAACTACAAGTCACTCATGAAGGCACCGACGAGGTAAAAGAATCTAAAATCTATGAAGGATAGATTCTCAACGATTGTCAATGGTCTCAAATCATATGGAGAGATCATTCCAAATGAAAAGCTTGTGAGGAAGTTAGTTTACTCAGTTCCAAAATTGTGGCAATCCAAGAAGACGATAATCATCTAGGCTAAGAACCTAAAGTCCTTAACTCTTGAAGAGCTAATTGGTTCCCTCCTCACTCATGAAATGATACTTGAAGATGAGGTGGACCTCGATAAGATTGACGAGACACCAAAGAAGAAGGAGAAGAAGAAAAACATTGGAGTTGCTTTCAAATCCACAAAAGATGAGAATGATTCGGATGAAGATGACGATGACGAGGAAATGTCATTGTTTGCCAAACGGTTCAGAAAAATGATGAGACCTTACAAAGGAAGAAAATTCAAACGAAATGAAGGCCTAAAAAATGAACCAAAAGAGAAGGACCCTATAATTTGCTATGAATGCAAAAATCCGGGGTATGTCAAATATGATTGCCCATAATTGAAGAGAAAGAGTCAATCAAAGAATAATCACAAGGCTCATGTGGCTACATGGAGCGATGAAGAAGGTTCCGATAAAGAGGAACAAGAAGTAGCAAACTTGTGCTTGATGGCATTCGGGGAAGATTCTAAGGTAACCTCTAACTCACCTGAATTAGATGATTTATCTTATGATGAGTTATTAGAGGAATATAATGGGTTGGCTT